TAGAATACTATTGTGCTGTAAGAAATGATGAAGGGGAGGGTTTTAGAAAAACCTGGGAAGACTGATGTAGAGTGAAGTGAGCAGAACCAGGAGAACAATTTAAACAGCAAAATCAATATTGTAAAGATAATCAACTTTGAAATACTTAGGAACTCTGATCAACACAATGACTGACCACAAATCCAAAGGACTCATGATGAAACATGAGCTCCATCTCTAGATAGAGAACTGATGGTTTTAGAGTACAGATTTAAGTTTATCTTTTTTCTCCTTTCCTTCCTTCCTTCCTTTTTTCCTTCCTTCATTCCTTCCTCCCTCCCTCCCTCCCTTCCTTCCTTCCTCCTTTCTTCCTTACTGGACATTGCTAATGCAGGACTTTGTTTTGCAGAACTATACATATTTGTAATGGACTTTGTTTTTCTTGCCTTCTCAATGAGTGGTAGAAGGGCAAAGGAAAGGAGAGAATTTGGAGTGAAAATAAACTACAATTAATATGATAAAAAATAAACAAATTCTAGAATTCACTGAATTGTTGTTTTAAAAATTGGGTCTGTGATTTATTAGGTTAGTGACTGTGGCAAATCTCTTCCCCTCTCTAGGCCTGTTTCCTGGACTAGATATTTTCTGGGGTCTCTTCCAGCTCTAAATTCTAAATTCCTATGAATTTTCTCATATTATTTCACGTCTAAGTTTTGTCTTCTCAATGCTGTTTTATATTTTCTTCACATTTCCTATGTTGCTTAGCATAGTACGAAGGAAGGTGGAGGCAGCCAACACATGCCATTTTAAAATTAAAATACTTTAATGCTGTTGGACGGCATTCATCCCAAGGTCTTACTGAGGGAGATGCTATCTTGGTGTCTTAGATGGCAGGAACCACATTGAGGCTTGGTAACACCAGAGGTTTCCGTAACAAGACAGATTAATTCCTGTGAGGTCTCTTATGAATCTGGATGCCAGAAATTAGGGATTTACTCTGAAACTGCTTACAAAACACTGAAACTGTAGTCAAATATAATCTGATGGATGCTGAATATAGACCAGACTAAAACAGAAAGAGCCAATATGCATTCAGAAATGGATCAGAAGAATAGATTCACTTAGAACTGGTTTTATTCAATAATATGAGTTTCAATGATTTCCTTTTGAGGAAGTGAGTTTATTAAGCAGAATCTCTAAGCTACCAGTTTGACAGCAAATGGGACAGAGAACCTCCTATGCTCTACCTCTTCTGCAACTATAAATAGGTATTTGGCATTTGGAATAGCAGTTCCAAATCACAATCCAGGCTGGCTCTGGCTCTAAGTGACAACCTAGGTATAATGAGGTTCTAGCTCTGATGGATAGTCATATGTACAAGAAAAGCCTCTATAAACAATTAAGGATCCAATTACAGGATATAGGACCGACTAGTAACAAGGACTGTTGGGATTCGGAGGACAATGCCTCTTCCTTTTAGTACCTAGCTCAATTCCGTTCCTGAAACTTGTCCCCATGCTTAGCCTATATGTAGGTCTTAGGGTCTAATTCTGTTTTCCAAAGTGAAAACGGAATCTCTATCTTTTCTTTTTTTTTCTTTTTTTTTTCTATCTTTTTTTTTCTTTTTGGTGAAGCAATCGGGGTTAAGTGACTTGCCCACAGTCAAGTGTCTGAGGCCAGATTTGAGCTCAGATCCTCCTGACTCCAGGGCGGGAGCTCTATCCACTGTGCCACCTAGCTGCCCCTTATCTATAATATCTTCCATGATGACATGTGTGCTTAATTTTTAAAAAAACAATAATGCTTTAGTTCAAAGGAGAAACTCTAGAGGTTAGCATTTTTTGAACAAAAAGGATGAGAAGATAGTATCAGGGCTTTCTGGTTAGGGAAATATTTGGAGGAGGTGGGGTCTTCTGGGTCTTCTCAAGTTGACACTTATTCTACCAACATATAGGACCATCTCCCTCTATAAGAACTGATTCCCTCATATAGAAACCATTCCCTCATATAGAAACCAGATTTTTCTATATCTTTAAAATATATGCCTGACCCAATTTACTAATGCTATCCTCTTATCATTATTGTGTGTGTGTGTGTGTGTGTGTGTGTGTGTGTGTGTGTATTTAAGAGGAGAGTTAGTAATAAAAAATAAACCAGAAAATCCCCACAGGAGAACAATAAGAAATACACTCATTCCTTCCTCAGAAGAGAAACTACATTTTTTTAGGAAGAAAGAAATTAAGAGGAGCTAAATAGGAAGAGAATAAAACTTATGACTTCACAGTGATATTCAGAGGCCTGCAATAGATTCTCTCAGAACCTGAAAGGCAATTCTATCTTCTTTCACTATACTGATAAGAAGGAACTGAGGGAAAAAGAATAAGGAAGATTGCAAAGCATCCCTGAGGGACAAGCCTGGAAGATTCTAAAAAATCTGGGAAGTCACCCTAGCTCAGGAAGCTCCAAGCTTCAGAGTTCCAGCTTCTTCTGGGACGGCCTAAAGCACCCATAGGTGGTGATCTGGCATGGAGCTTTGGAGAAATGTTTTATTTTATTTAAGTAATCATTTTTCTAGCCCTCTAAATAACGGATATCATTGCTTTAAGACCATTTCCAGAGTTTTCCAGCAACTTGTTTGCTAGAGTATATTGATGTCAGCAATTTCATGGTGCAGTATCATCTAAATCAACATGGCAATGTAAGCAAAGGGAGAAATGTTGCAATACAATGCATCTTGTGATGCTGGAGGATATCTAGAATGATCTTAATGCTATTTCCCATTGTACAGATAACTTGACACTCATCATCATTGCCTAAAATTTTACAGGTTACATTTTACAGGTTAGCATCACTAAATCAGAAAAATAAGTAAAGGCAGAAGGAATAATGCTTCTTACCACTTGGAGATACCAGGACTGGCTCTGTATACCTTTGTTCATCTGTTGAAGGCAGGTTAAAGGAGATCATTAACACCATACCCAGACTAGTTCCAACCCACAGACACGGGGAGATTGTCGTGTCATTTTTCCGTGCAAAGGATTCCATGAAGTACAAAGCTGTAATTGCTTCCTTAGCCTCTTTGTCAATGCTGGAGACACTAGAACTTCTAGAACGATTATAGGAGTTTTCTCGGCTTTCTATGTAGATTTAGAAAATAAACACATTAAGTGTTAATGCATTTCTGTTGTAAGGCATAAAAATATATAACTTTAATTATGAGTGAAAAGTAGAACTTTTATAATATAACATTAGGGATTTTCTACTTCAACCCATTTATTTTATATGTAAAAAATCTGAGGCCCATGGAGATGAGGTGACTTGCCCATGGTTGTGGAGTCCCTGGTCTTACAGCTAGTTGGCAGTGGATTCAGTATCAAAACCCATGTCTCTTCAATCGTACTTTACAAATGAACTGAAATAATGTCTATGTCTTTGCATATTATTAATGTTTGTATCCTTCATAACACCTAACTGTATTTGCACATGATGGGTGCTTAAATGTTGAGCGAATCTATTTAAGTGACAGCAGTATAGACTTGTATGAATTCACATAAAGTGAGTAGAATGAGAACTACTTATATGATGACAACAACATTGTAAAGGAAAACAATTTTGAAAGGCTTTAAAACTCTGTATTGTCTGCAAAGATAATGATATAATAAATTATAATTTCAGAAGAGAAATAATGAAACATGTCTAGCCTCTTTTTGAAGAGGAGTGCAGAGAGAGACTTGTAAGTACAGAATGAGACTTCCATTTCCTCACACATGGCCATTACAACATAACTTTGTTTTGCTCAACTATACTTTTGTTATAAGAGACGGATTTTATTTGGGTTGGTGGTGGTGGTGATGGTAATGACGGTGATAAAAAATGTAAGAGATTAAGGAAGAGTGTTAATGATCACAGAGGAGATTAGGTTGTTTCCACTCTGAGGGGGACAGAAAATCAGGGCAATGATGGCACCACCATATTAAATTTAATGTATATTAAAAATAATAAACAATATGTAATCAATTCATGGCTTCATGTATAATCTTTATTTTATATATTTCTTTGTGATTTTCTATTTCATTATAAATAAAATAAAGGTAGGATCTTTCTGAAGAGAAACAGGATGGTATCTACTTCATTTTATTCTGATTTCAAACCCTTTGGCACTCTACCAGAAGTATCAAATTTGCAGCCTTCAAAACTCCCAAATGTAGCTAGAACCAGATTAAAATGTAATTGAGGAATGTTTAACAAAATAAGTAAAAATACAATACAACACACATAGTGTTAATTTTTGTTTTTTTTTAAGTCAATATGTGGCCCACAAGGATTTGTTTCGATTTGAGTTTGACACTACTGCTCAACACAACCAGACATATAGGTAAAAAAGGATAGATATCCTATGGTTAGGATCCCAATCAATAACAATGGAATAAAGCAATGTGAAGTTGAGATCAACACCTTCCCTTTGACTTAGAGAACAGCCTGGGGCATCAGATGGTTAAGTGACCTCCCCAGGGTCACACAGTTAGTATATGTCACAGGCAAAACTTCAACCCAGGTTTTTTTTGACTCTGAGGCCAGCTCGCTACTGTGCTTTCCTGCCTCTCACTTGTAAAACTTATATCACAGGACTGTTGTAAGGAAAGCTTTTTATAATATATAAAGTTCTATGAAAATGTAAGCTATAATTATTATCATCATTATTTTTATTACCATAGCACAGACATAAGCCTGGATAGCTTAGCAAATGATACACTAATTTTTAAGTGACCGAGGCAGATTTAGTTATATACCTGGGGCAAGGAGGAAGATTTAAGGGAGCTCACTTAGGGTATGGACCTATGCAGGAACCAACTATGCCCTAGGATGGTACTATTGGTTCCCTCTAAATTTCAGCACTTTGGAGCAAAGCCCGTCATTTTGCCCTAGTTGTGGCTCTGGATTAAGCCTAGGTATGTGCTAGAAAAACATTTGCATTTCCACCAAATTCTTATCTATAACTTACCTTCTGTTGTGACTGGTAGAGAAACCTCCATGCAAGCAGCTGACTGTGCCTTTCGGAATGGTGGTCGTCCAGGACCCCAGCGATTCACTTTTGAAACATCAGCACTAGAAAGACGTTTTCCAGAACTGCAACTCTGAGAAGTAGGACTGGTGCAGTGTCCATTTACATGATCTGTAACAAGAATGGTAAGTTGGATGCTCACAACAAGCATCAGGGAAACATAATTTAACTACCACTATGGAATATTAACATGAGCAGAAAGACTATTTCTGAGGAGATTAGGAGTATGAGGGTGTCCCATAAAAAAATTAAATGAAGAGAAACACCATGACAATATGCTTTCTGCATAGAACATCACTTTACTTAACCATCCAAAAATTACTAAATCCTTGTCTTTTCAAGATTTGGTTAAAATTCAGTATGTCATAAGCAAATTAATAAACCATTAATATTACAATACACAATGTGTGTACTAAACTTTAATTTTAGCCTAGACTCTTTTATATTCTACTACCACACTGTGATGCAACATTTATAATTAAACGCATAAATATTCTCTAGAAATAGAAAATTAAAATATATTTGTTCCTGTGGTAATAGGAGTCACCAATGTTAATGATAAAATACCTAGCTAGAACTAAGTATTAGCACTCAATTCTGTTTTGATGTAACTTTAAATGTGTAAAGATTCATGAAAACTGTGTTCCCTTTTTTTCTCAGGTATAACAAATCCTTTATCTGGCTTTTAAAATTAGTTGATTATAGGTTTCTGACTTCACAGAATATGTACTGTCCATTATAGACTTTGGAAAACATTTTAAATTGAAATCCATTGGTTTCTTAAAGTGAGCCTGAAGTTCAAAGGCCATGCTCTATACGAGTATACCCCATTCATTCAAAGGGATAACAACATGAAATGCCTGGTATAATGGAAAGAATGAGGGATTTGTTGTCAAAGAACTTGGCTTTGAATTTCAGTTCTGCCGCTTGACGTTGGCCAACTGGCTTAATCTCACTGTGCTTTTATTTCCTCATCTTAAAATTCAGGAATGATTGGAATACATCATCTCCAGGGACCCTTTCCCAGTTCTCAATCTATGTTCCTAAGAAAAAGAACTTATGAGAACTTTTTAAAAAGAAAAATTTGGAGGGGACAGCTAGGTGGCACAGTGGATAGAGCACTGGTCCTAGAGTCAGGAGGACCTGAGTTCAAATCTGACCTCAGACATTTAACACTTACTAGCTCTGTGACGTTGGGCAAGTCATTTAACCCCAATAGCCTCCCCTCCCCCCCGACTCAAAAAAAAAAAGACAAAAAGAAAAATCAGAGAGAAAATAAACTAGTATCATAAGGATTCTTTCTTAAAAGTCCTTCATTAAAAAAATTCCAGTTTCTTATAAATTAGGTGGTTTCTGGCAATATACTTGGAATAATATGAAATTTATGTGATTTTATCTGGGATCACATCTTATTGTCTGAAGTTAGGTATACCTATAGTTACCAAAAATAGTGCTTAATTTTTAACATAGCCATTCTTGCCATGGTTTTACTAAATAAGAACAAGGATAATATTATTACTTAATACTTGGCAAAATTTATAGTGCTGCCATGAGACCAAACCTTTTAATACAGAATAAAGAATAATACATAGGAAAATGAAGTATTTAATATCTCTTTGCCACAAGGGACAATTCTTATGATTAAATATATGCTGAATAGTTTGAAAATAAAAATAGTTTTAACAAAAATATAAAAATATCAAGACAAAATAATCATCAATTTACTGTGGGATAACAACAACCAAATTAATGCAAACATTTGCTTTCAACTTCTGTTTAAAACAGCACCAGTCAACTGATTAAAAAAACAAACAAGCCAAAACATTCTGACCACTGAGTAATGGGTTTTGGAGAGCCTCTGTTCTACCCTGCACACCATCTAATTGTCCCTGGTTGATGGACAGGTTTTTTTCCTTGATGTTAACATCATTTTTAGCTTGTTTTGATTTTGGTGTCTTTGATCATCCAACAATATGCAGGCCATTTTCTTTTCTCTGTATTTATTTGCTTCTGATTTTGAAAAACAAGCTTTTATTTCTTGTCTTTTTTTTTTTTTGAGCTAAAGCTTCAGAGGCTGGTATATAGGCTTTTCTTTGAAGTCAGCTTAATTTCCTTTCTTGTTTTGGTGTGGTTCTTTAATAGAAAAAAGTTTTACTTGTTCTTGGATGTGTTTGTTTTGACTTTGAAGGAATCAAGGCTTCCATCCACTAGGTCTGCTGGTTATTCTTTGAAACTTCAAATTTCAGACAGAAGCTTCCCACTAGTTTTACTCAGTCTACTCAGCTCTACAAGCTTGTTTCCACAAGCCAATCTCTATCTGTATCTATCTGTGTCTGTCTATCTGTCTGTTTGAGCCTTAATATACTAGATGAATGTTTAAGACTACTTTGGAACCAACTTCATTAACTATTTAAAAAAGATTGTGACTCAGAAATATAACCTTAGGCTTAGTCTTAAAGTCTGAGGATTTTAAACTTCCTTAACAGCATTAAATCTTAAGATCCTATAATCATTTAACTTGAGGAATATGATAATTAAAATCTTAAAATATCACTATATTTTGATTTATGAAACATTTCAATCTCAATAAAATTAAGCATAAGACAAAATTTCTCAAATCAAATCATGTTTTCCCATTGAGTTACATCATAAAATTTAAAAAGAAGTCTGAAGAAAAATGCTAATGCAGTGAATTGAAAATGGTCAGTAAGGAAGGTTGATAGGATTTGAGCCTATGCCATAATGGGCTTGTCAGGATTCCCGTGGTGCTGTTGCTGTAGTCCCTATGTCCAAAAACATTTGAAATAAAAGTAGTTTGTCATTTAAAAATTTTTCTCTAATATATACAGGGAGGTTATTAACTATCACTCCAGATATTATTTTTAGCTGGTCCTGTTATTGCAATGAGCTATAGGACAGGACTGATTTTAGCACCAGGAGTTGGGGTAAGAAGTTACAGGAGTTACCTGAACATTTTTGAGGGCAGTGCAGGTGGCATTTGAATTGTACATTAACAGATGGGCAGGAATCCAACAAAGGAGGAGAGGGAGCAAGGACATTCTAGGCACAGAGCTTGAGCAAAATAACTGAGATGTGAGATCACAATACATGTAAAGGGGATATGGAATTGTTCAGTTTTTTTGGAGTTTAAAGTGCAGAGGGGAAAGTAATACGAGGTAAAGCTAGAAAGGTAGGATGGGACAAAATTATGGAAGGCCTTAACTGTCATGCAGAGAACTTTGACCTTTACATGGTACACGATAGGGAACTTGATGACTTTTGATCAGAGAAGGAACATGATCAGACCTATGCATAAAATCTCAAATATTCTGGCATTGGAACAAAGGATTGATTAAAGGTAGGAAGAGTCAGTCCATATGAATGACAATGTAATCCTTCCTCTTGCCTGTATAACCTCAAGAAAGTCACTTGCTTAGGTCTCAGTTTCCTCATATATGATATGGAGGGGTTGGAGAAGATGGCCTCTGAGAGTCCTATCCAACTATAGATCTTTAATCTTATGATAGCTGATACTAAGAAGGTAGCAACGGAAATGAAAGGGAGAGGGGAGCAAGGAAAAAATCAAGTGATATTGCAAAGATGGAGTTTGTAGAATATGCTAGCTGGCTGAATATGAGAAGAGAGAAAAGTCAAAAGATAATCCAAAAGTTCTCAGCATGGGAGATTATGGTTGTTGTCCTTCATTCTCGAAGAGAACCAAAATGACACCGTTATGTTGGAGTTCAAGGTACAGTGTATCTGACTGGCTGATCAGACTAATATGAGCTCAGAAGACTCTACCACAGGTTGGGCACAAATAGTCCATATAAATATTTGGAGTGGAGATGTCTCTAAATTTGCGCATCTTATGTTTCCTTTGTGCTACTGCAATTTTGCTTCACTCATAGATCACAGTGCCTTCTTTGATGCAGGTATGCCATGCGGTCCTGTGCCAGGGTCTCCTATGTCTTAGAATCAATTCCAAAGCTTTTCAGAGAAACCTTGAAAGTGTCCTTGCATTGCTTCTTCTGACCTCCATATAAGCGCTTGCCCTGTGTAAGTTCTTCATAGAATATTCTTTTAGGCAAACATATTTGACATTTGAACAATGTGGCCAGCCCATCAGAGTTGTGCTCTCTGCAGTAGGAATTTGAATGCTTGGCACTTTAACTCAAGAAAGGACCCCACTGTCTTGTGCTTCATTTTGCCAGGTGATCTTCAGAATCTTCCTAAAGCAATTCAAATGGAAACAATTCAGCTTCCTGGCTTGGCGCTGGTATACTGTTCAGTTTCACAGGCATACAACAATGAGGTCAGCACAACTGTTCTATAGAACTTCATTTTGGTAGTCTAATACCTCTTCTCTCCCACACTTTACTTTGGAGCTTCCCAAACAAATTCTAGCTCTGGCAACATGTGTGTCAACCTTATCCCTGAAAAGTATACTACCAAGGTAAATGAACTTATCCACAACATTAGGTGGTATCATAGGTAGAAACAGTGAAGTCAGAGGGAGGATAAAGTTTAGGAGGAAGAGAGGCAGCTTAGCACTTGTTGAGTTTTTGATACAGGTGGAACATCCATGCAATGATTCTTGAAGACTATTGGAAATGCATTTTTGAAGCTCACACCAGAGGTCAGGACTAAAAACACATATTTGTGAGTCATCTGCTTAGAGATACCTCTTGAAGTCATGGAATTGATGGGATTGCCAACAGAGAATGTAGAGAAAAGTAAGAGAGCCAAGTAAAAACCTTTGAAGGTGAATAAGTAATTGTTAAAAATTATTTGAAAACCTTACTAATTATTATTTTATGCTGTGTGCTTGATTTCTCAAAGAAAACATAGCCCAAAATTTAACATTGTGAAAAGATTCATATGTTAAATTAAATTTTAAGTTATGAGAATTATTTAACCTTGACAAGAAAATCACAGTATAGTAAAACTTTGATTAGTTGGCAATTAATTCACCAGAATTTTCAAATAATCAGCATTTTGGGGGGGGTGAATGCACAGAGGATTTAAATCTATATGCATGTGCATACATATATATATATACACACACACATATAGTCCCCCTCTATATAGGACTCTATATAGGTCTATATACACACATTATGGATATGATGGTTCACCACGTATATGATGATTCATGTCATGATTTAATCCGTAATGATTGTAGTGAGCACAAATCGCTATTTTCTGATCATTTCTAGGATAGACACAAATTAAATTGTATGTATTATGGAGACCCAGTTTCAGATACATTTTGGCCTCTTGGAACTTCCTGTGAATATCATGGCTCAGCAGCAGGGGCATATCCATTATGTAGGGTTTTTCCTCCCCATTTAAACATCTACATTCAAATTAATTTCACAATGTATATTCCTTTGGGGACATAAGAAAGAAAAATTCCTATGGTGATCAGGAGGGGCAAGTAAAACATTTTTTAGGCTTTTCTATAACTATTTGTAAAATTCCCATAACATATTCTCTCTCTCTCTCTTTTTTTAGGTAATTTGTGTTAAGTGACTTGCCCAGGGTCACACAGCTAGCAAGTGTCAAGTGTCTGGTCTCAGGCCAGATTTGAACTCAGGTCCTCCTGACTTCAGGGCTGGTGCCCTATCCACTGCACCACCTAGCTGCCCCAACATATTATCTTGACCAAGCATGTTATCCATGTAGCAGAAAACTACATGGCTATATATATTTATAGAATATATAATATATACATGTTTCTCTACAGATATTATATACATAATTATATGTCTATTTAACAGTAATTATGTTATGTAACAGTCTATATAGCAGTAATTATGTATATAATTATACATCTATATAATGGACATTATGTATACACACATATACACATACATCTCTTTAGGAAATCCAAACAATTGGCAAAATCTTTCCAGTGTTCCCTGTGAATAATCCAGATCAATTAGACTCATAAAGATGGGCCATTCTAAATCAACCTACCTAGTTACTGCTTTTACCCCTCCTTAAATAATCCTGGAAATGCCACCCTTATAAATATACTCTACAATTAACTTTAAACTTCAAGCAGCTTAGTGCTGTCCATTATACCAGTGCTGAACCACCCAATTCACCACAGCTAAAGGTTGCAGTGCTAACACTATGGTTCCCTGAAAGCATATCACCCTCCTTGGTGTTTTAAAAAGAGATTTACTATTTAAAAAAAAGTACCATGAGTGAAGCATACAAAGCAAAATGGAGAAAAATGGGCAAGTTTATAAGTCATAAATATGCTTCATTAGGTAGATTTTGGTGGGGGCATTTTCTCATTACAGTGCATCCATGAACTGGATTAAAGAGGGACACACAGCTAGATTAGTCTGCTTAGCCAGAAAGACTTTAAAATTAATGTGAATAGAAAGGAAGCAGTTAACAAGGAATGTGGTCTATTTTTAAACAATATTTTATTTTTTTCCCAATTGCAAGTAAAAACAATTTTTAACATTTGTTTTTTAAGAATTTGAGTACCAAATTCTTTCTGTCCCTTCTAACCCTCCCCCCTCTTTGAGATGGTAGCAATTTGATATGGGTTACACATGTGCAATCATTCAAACCATATTTCCATATTAGTCATGTTGTAAAATGAAACACAAACAACAACAACCAAAAAAAAAAACTCCACTAAAAAAGTGAAAAAAATAGCATGCTTTGATCTGCATTCAGATTCCACTAGTTCTTTCTGTGGAGGTGGATAGGATTCTTAACCATGAGCCCTTTGGAATTGTCTTGGATCAGCGTATTGTTGAGAGTAGCTAAGTCATTCACAGTTGATCATCATACAATATTGCTGTTACTGTGTACAATGTTCTCCTGGTTCTGCTCACTTCACTTTGCCTCAATTCATGTAAGTCTTTCCAGGTTTTTCTGAAAGCATCCTGCTCATCATTTCTTATAGAACAATATTATTCCATTACAATCATATATCACAAATTGTTCAGCCATTCCCCAATTGATGGGCATCTCCTCAATTTCCAATTCTTTGCTGACACTAAAAGAGCTGCTATAAATATTTTTGTATAAATAAGTCCTTTTCTCTTTTAAAAAAATCTCTTTGGAGTACAGATTTAGTAGTGCTATTTCTGGGTCAAAGGGTACATACAGTTTTATAGCCCTTTGAGCATAGTTCCAAATTGCATGACTTATGTGGAAATATGGTTTGAATGATTGCACATATGTAACCTATATCAAATTGCTCTCCATTCACAACTCCACCAACAGTGCATTACTGTTCTGATTTTCCCACATCCTCTCCAAAATTTCTCATTTTCCTTTTCTGTCATATTAGCTAACCTGATAGATGTGAAGTGGTACTTCAGAGTTGTTTTAATTTGCATTTTTCTGATCAATAGTGATTTAGAGCATTTTTGACTATAGATGGCTTTGATTCCTTCACCTGAGAACTGCCTGTTCATATCCTTTGACCATTTATCAATTGGGGAATGACTTATATTCTTATAAATTTGACTCGGTTCTCTATATATTTGTGAAATGAGGCGTTTATCAGAGACACTTTATCAGAGACAATCCCTCTCCCCCCTGCTTTCTGCTTTCCTTCTAATCTTGGCTGCATTGGTTTTGTTTGTGCAAATCCTTTTGAATTTAATGTCATCAAAATTATTCTCTTTACTTCCTGTGATCCTCTCTATCTCTTGTTTGGTCATAAATTCTTCCCTCATCCTTATATCTGACAGGTAAGATATTCCACACTCCCTTAATTTGCCTCTGGTATCACCCTTTATGTCCAAATCATGTAAATTATGGTGTTAGATGCTACCTAGTTTCTGCCAGTTTTCCAGTTTTCCCAGCAGTTTTTTTTTCAAGTATCGAGTTTTTGTCCCAAAGGCTTGGATCTTTGGGTTTATCAAACAATAGATTACTATGTATAATACTGTGTATTATGTACCTAATCTATTCCACTGGTCCACCGCTCTATTTCTTATCCAGTACCAGATTATTTTGATGATCACTGCTTTGTAATACAGTTTGAGATCTGATAGAGCTAGGCCACCTTCCTTCACATTTTTTAAAAAATTAATTCCCTTTATATTCTTAACCTTCTTCTGCCAGATGAATTTTGTTATTATTTTTCCTAATTCTACAAAATAAATTTTTGGTAGTTTGATTGGTATGGCACTGAATAAGTAAATCAATTTAAGGAGAATTGCCATTTTTATTTTGTTGGATCAACTTATCTGTGAACAATTAATATTTTTTTTTCCATTTGGTTAGATCTGACTTTGTGTGAAAAGCGTTTTGTAATTGTGTTTGTATAGTTCCTGGGTTTATCTTCAGATAGACTCCCAAGCATTTTGTATTGCCTACCATTATTTTAAGTGGAATTTCTCTTTCAATCTCTTCTTACTGCTGGACTTTGCCAGTAATGTATAGAAATGCTAATAATGTATGTGGCTTTATTTTACATGCTTCAACTTTGCTAAAGTTGTTAATTATTTCAACTAGTTTTTTAGTTGATACTCTAAGTATATCATCACATCAGCTGCAAAGACTGATAGTTTTATTTCCTCATGACCTATTCTAATTCCTTCAATTTCTTTTTCTTCTCTTATTGTTATAGCTAGCACTTCTAATACAATATTGAATAATAGTTGCAGAAACGGATAAGCTTGCTTCACCTCTGAACTTACTGGGAAAGTTTCTAGCTTATATCTATTCCTGATGGTTTTAGATAAATGCTACTTAACCATTTTAAGGTAAGCTCCATTTATTCCTATGTTCTTTTTAAAAATTTAAAAACTTATTTTTATTTTAATTTTAATTTATGGAATAAAACAAGCATTTCCATTACATAGTATAATAAAAAAAGATGATTGCACATGAAACCACAAATCTATTATGTACATCTTGCTATTTCTCTTAAATACATAACAAAGTTATCATATAAATTTCTTTTCTCCCTACCCCACCCTAGATATGGCTACCATTACACACAAATACCCATATGTATATAAAATCATTCTATACGTGCTTCTATTTATCAGTTCTTTTTCTGGATACAGAGATCAAGTCTTACTTTTATATGTCCTTTGTAGCTAATTTGGGTATTTATACTAGTCAAAATGACTTAGTATCTCAAAGTTGTTCTTAAAAGATATTCCTGTTACTGTCTACCACGTTCTCTTGGTTCTGCTCATTTCAGTCTGCATTATTTCATGTAAGACTAACCGTGTTTTACTAAGATCATCAAACTCATAATTTCTTATGCATAGTAATATTCCATCACAATCATATTCCATCACAATTCAGCCATTCCCCAATTGATGGGCATCTCTGCACTCTCCAGTTCTTTGCCACCACAAAAAACATTGCTATAAATATTTTAGAACATATAGGTTCTTTTCCTTTTCCCCCATCATCTTTGGAAAGCAGTGATATTGCTGTGTCAAAGGGTATAGGCAGTTCAATAACTCTTTGGGCATAATTCCAGATTGCTCTCCAAAATGGTCAGAGATAATCATAATTCCATCAACAATGAATTGGTATCCCAATTTTTCCATATTCCCTCCAATATGTATTGCTTTCCCCTTCAATCATTTTAGCCAATCTGAAAGGTATAAAATGATATCTCAAGGTTGTTTTAATTTCCATTTCTCTAATCATTAATGATTTTTTAGACCATTTTTCATATGACTATACATTGCTTTGATTTCTTCATTTCAAAACTGCCCATTCCTGTCCTGTGACAATTTATCAGTTGGGGAATGACTTGTATTCTTATAGATTTGACAAAGTTCTTTACATATTTGGGATATGAGACCTTTATCTGAGAAACTGTCTATAAAAATTCCCCCTCCTGATTTTCTGCTTTCCTTCTGATCTTGCCTACATTCATTTGTACAAAACATTTTGAATTTAACGTAATCAAAATTATCCATTGTACACCTCACTTTGCTCCCTAGCTCTTATTTATTTATAAATTGTTTGCCTATCCACAAGTCTGATAAGTAATGTGCCCCATGTTCTTCAAATTTTCTTGTAACATCTCTCTTTATATCTAGGTCATGTATCCATTTTGATCTTATTTTGGTAAATGGTGTAAGATGTTGGTCTATACCCAATTTTGGCCATACCGCCTTCCAGTTTTCCCAAAATTTTTTTACCAGACAGTGAATTTTTATCCCAAAATCTTAAGTCTTTACATTTGTCAAATATGAAGTTACTATATTTATTTGCTGCTGTAAATTGGATGTCTGCTCTGTTTTATTGTTTTACCTTTCTACTTCTTAGGCAGTACCAGATAGTTTTGAGCATTACTGTCTTATAGTTTAAGATCTGGTACTGCTAAACCTCTTTCCTTTACAGTTTTTTTTTCATTATTTCCTTTGACATTCTTGATTTTTTGTGCTTTCAAATGAATTTTTATTATTTGTTTCTAATTCAGTAAAATAATTTTTTTTGTAATTTAATTGGGATAGCATTAAATATATAAATTAGTTTAGATAAAATTGCCATTTTTATTATATTGATCCTGCCTACCCATGAACAATTAATGTTTTCCCAATTATATAAGTCTGATTTTATTTGTATAAAAAGCTTTTTAAAAAATAACTTTGTTTATATAGTCCCTGGTTTTGTTTTGCCAGGTGTACTCCAAAGTATTTTATTTATATTGTCTAGAGTTATTTTAAATGCAATATCTCTTACTATCTCTTCTTTCAGGTTCTTGTTTGTGATCTATCTATCTATCTATCTGTCTGAATGCTGATGATTTATGTGGATTTACTTTATATACTACTACTTTGCTAAAATGATTAATTGTTGCAACTAACTTTTTAGTTGAATCTTTGGGATTCTCCAAGTATTTCATTATATCATATGCAAAAAGAGGTAGTTTTATTACCTCATTCCCTAATCTGAGTCCTTCTACTTCTTTTTCTTCTCTTATTGATATTGCTGGGATTTTCAATACAATATTGAATAACATTGGTGACAGTAGACATCTTTGTTTCACACCTGATTTTACTGGGAAAATCCGTAGTTTATAATCATTAAAAATAATGCTTGCTGATTGTTTTAGATAAATGCTTTTTTAAAAAAATCAACTTAAGGAAAAATCCATTTACACCAATACTTCAAAGTGGTTTTTTTTTTTAATAGAAATGAGTGTTGTACCTTATCAAAAGCTTTTCTGCATATAATCATATGATTTAAAAAACAAATTTTATTATGGATATAATCAATTATGTTAATGGTTTTCCTTATGTTAAACTATCCCTGAATTTCTGGTATAAATATCAATTGGTCACAATGTATAATCTTTGTAATACATTGTTGCTATCTTTTAGTTAGTATTTTATTTAAGATTTTTGTATGCATATTCATTAATGAAATTGGTCTTTAATTTTCTTTCTCTGTTTTTACTCTTTCTGGTTTAGGTATTGGTATCATATTTGTTTCATAAAAGGAGTTTGGTAGGATCCATTCTTTGCCTATTATTCCAAATAATTTATCTAATATTGGAATAAGTTGATTTTTAAATATTCTGTAGAATTTACTTGTAAATCCATCTGGTCCTGGTGCTTTTGTCTTAGGAAGTTCATTTATGGCCTGTACAATTTATTTTTCTAAAATAGGTTTATTTAGATATTCTATTTCCTTCTTCTGCTAATTTAGGACATTTATATTTTTGTAAATATTCTTTCATTTTACTCACATTGTTAAATTTCTTGGCATATAATTGGGCAAAATGACTCCTTATAATTGCTTTAATTTCATCTTCATTAGAGGTATAGTCACCTTTTGCATTTTTATTACCAGTGATTTGGTTTTCTCTCTTTTTAAAAATTAAATTAATCAATGGTCTATTTTATTGTTTTTTTTTTCATAAAACCAACTCCTAGTTCTATTTATTAACTTAATAGTTTTTTACATTAAATTTTATTAATCTCACCTTTAATTTTTTGGATTTCTAAGTTAATGTGTAGTTGGGGATTTTTAGTTTATTTTTTTTCAAGTTTTTTTTAATTGCATACCCAATTCATTAGTCTGCTCTTTCTCTATTATTGATGTAAGCATTTAGAGATATACATTTTCCTCTGATCATTGTTTTTGCTGTATCCCATAATTTTTGATATATTGTCTCATTATGTTCTTTTCCTCACTATGTCCTTTACTGTTTTTCATAGGAATAGGTGTTGTATTTTACCCAAAGCTTTTTCTGCATCTATTGAGAAAATCATAAGATTTCTGTTGTTTTTGTTATTGAATGGTCAATTATGCTGATAGTTTTCTTAATATTGAACCAGCCCTGCATTTCTAGAATCAATCCCACCTAGTCATAGTTTATAATCCTCATGATATATTGCTATAATCTTCTTGCTAGCATTTTATTAAAATTTTTTTTCATCAACATTCCATAGGGAAATTGTTCTATAGCTTTCTTTTTCTGTTTTTGTTCTTCCTATGTTTAGGTATAAGCACCATATTTGCATCATAAAAGCAATTTGGTAGGACTTCTTCTTTGCCTATTTTCCCAAATAGTTTATATAGTATTGGAATGAATTGTTCAATGACTGTTGGTAGAATTCACTTGTGAATCCACCTGGCCCTCAGGATTTTTTCTTAGGGTGTTCCTTGATGACTTGTTCAATTTCTTTTTCTAAGATGGGCTTAATTCAGTATTCTATTTCCTTTTCTGTTAATCTGGGCAATTTATATTTTTGTAAATATTCATCTATTTTTACTTAGATTGTTAGATTTATTAGCACACAATTGGGAAAATAGCTCCCCCAAATTGCTTTAATTTCCTCCTTATTGGTCGTGAATTCACATTTTCATTTTTGATATTGATAATTTTTTCTTTTTTTTTAAAATCAAATTAACCAACTGTTAACTATTTTATTATTTTTTTTCATAAAACCTGCTCCTAGTTAGTTCAATGGTTTTCTTTCGATTTTATTAACCTTTCCTTTGATTTTCAGGATGTCCAATTTGGTGTTTCTTTGGGGATTTTTAATTTGTTCTTTTTCTAGGTTTTTTTTAGTTATATGCCCAATTCATTGATCTCTTCTTTCTGTATTTTAATTGATGTAAGTGTTTAGAGACAAATTTCCCCGTAAGTACTGCTTTGGCTGCATCCCATATATTTTGGTATGTTGTCTCATTGTTGTTATTCTCTTTAATGAAATTATTGATTGTTTCTATGATTTGTTCTTTGACCTACTCATTCTTCAGGATTAGATCCTTTAGTTTCCAATTAATTTTTAATCTGTTTTCCATGGCTCTTTATTGAAAGTAATTTTTATTGTATTATGATCCAAAAAGGATGCATTTAACATGTCTGCTTTTCTGCATTTGGTTATGAGGTTTTTATGGTCAATTTTTATGTGGGTGACATGTACTCCTAAAAAATGATATATTCCTTTCTATTCCCATTCATTTTTTTCCAGAGGTCTATGATACCTAACTTCTAAAATTCTATTTACCTCCTTACTGTCTGGTTTATTTTTTGGTTAGATTTATCTAGTCCTGAGAGGGGATGTTAAGATTCCCCACTAGCATAGTTATACTATTTCCTCCTGTAACTCATTTAACTTCTCTTTTAAAAATTTGGATGCTATACCATTTGGTATATAGTTTATATATTATATATAATATTATACATGTATGTGTATATATATATATGTTTAGTATTGATGTTACTTCATTGTCTTTGGTACCTTTTAGTAAGATGTAGTTTCCTTCTTTATCTCTC